TGTAAGATAATAGACTCTTACACAGAGTTGGAAACATAATCGCTTCAGTCTGGACTGCATGATAGTTTAGAATTTTAAAACTTATCTATGTAATCTTACCCCTTCAAGCTCTGAGACTCATTGTGGTTCCACTGTCTGTAAAATGTGAGAATTCTCACAATTTCTAAGTATCCCAAGGTGGAGAATTACTGTTGAGATTTTACGTGGATCCCTCAAATAGCAACGTTGGTTTTACCCATCTGAACGTATAACCACCTGTATCAGCACAAGCCCCCAAAACAGAAAACACTGACTGAGTTTTTATGCAAACACATAACCGCCGGCATGTTTTCATAATCTCCAAGAGTACGACTCAGTAGAAGATACAAATGAAATATCCCTGCTGGGCCAGGTGGTGGTCACTTACTGGGGGCTTGATGTTTGTGGCGCAGACAGGAGGGAAGAGTTCAGCCGAGTCTTTTATTAAAGTAGGGTCCTAAGGTCTTGCCTGGACTTTACTCATATTCCTGAGCCTGTTACTCTTGTGCAGCTTCCCCTCTGGCCACGGCCCTTCATGTTGCTTGCATTTGATGAACACTAAAACTACCAAAACTTACTGTATTTTTTTTCTGCCCAAACTATTCACTATTCCCAACTCCCTGACCTTGATAGGAATCTCTTATAGGAAAAACTTTCAACTTACTTCAATTGTAAGGTATTACACTTTCAGAATACCTGGTGAGAGGGATTTTCAGTTTGCAGACTTTAGAAGATGAAAGTTGCAGCATTTGAACTGGTTTTGCAAAAGATCCAAAGGCTTCCCTTTTAAGCATGACTCTCCTTCCATATATGTTCAATTATGTACATATATGGTGTGCTGTATCTCTGCAACAGGGTGACTTCAGCAGGCAGGTATGTGTCTGAAGAATTAGTTTCTAGGTGAGGCACTTTGTGACTATTCTTGGGCTGGAAATTTTCCTCTCACCCCAAATTAATGATCTTGAAGACAAGGATGGGTAGACCTGCAATTTCAGGAGTCTTTCAGAACTTCGCTGTTGCTTGCCAAACTTGAGCAATGAAGAGCCCCCAAAGTATGCTTATTCTAATCTGTGCCTGACTAAAGCCTTCCAGCTCAGGGGTGGACAGGATGAGACACTTGCTTGCAAATTAGTCCAGTTGCATCTTGATGCTAATACAGCTCCCTGCAATTTGCCTATGTGTGTGGTGGGTTGTTTTTAAAGGACCTTGAACAGTGCTATGCCTTTAAGGAAAATGCTGCCCTGAAAAAGTCCACATGCCTGAAGCCTCTTCCGTATGCCAAGGAAGTTTTTGTCTGACAAGCAGGGCTTCAGTCCTAGACTTACTGGGTTTTAACTATAGTGCATTCTTAGGTGCTGAAGTACAGACTGTGGACACATCAGGACCCACTGTGTCTTAGCACATCGTGAAAGCATGTTTAGTTAGCACCTTACCACCATAACTAGAATCTATAGAAATGAACATTTCTGGAAGCTTGCCTTCACAGGGTATCCTGGGACTTCTTCATCTGTGCGATGCAGTAAGACAGGGCAGTCTCGGAATGGCATTGTCCTCACTACTCCTCATCTCCTTCTTTTGGAGTCTCTTCTGTCTCCGGGACTCCTCCGTTGACAGGGCATTCCTATGACTCTTCCCTCTGAGTTATCCCATGCATGCCTGTGGTGAGTGGCCCTTTGCTTGCCTAGTTCCTTTGTGCAAGTCACAGGGCCCTATGGGGAGAAACACAGAAGAAAGGGTCTCTCTTACCCAATGAACTGTGAGATCTCTCCTATTAGGACAGATCTGTAATTCTATTGTTCACTTTTCTTGCTATGAAAAAAAAAATGGAGACAATAGTTTTTTGGGGGGTGGGAGGATTGTTTGTTTGTTTGTTTCTATCCAGAAAAAAAAAACATTAACCTCAAGCTATCAGAAAAATAATGAATAAATTGTCTTATATTCTGTGGTAACTTACACCTCGCCTCTCCTTGGTGGTCACATTACAGTTATGACTAGTAAATTTGAGGATTCCTTTTATTAGGGCCCTAGGGCACTTGTTGATCAAAAAGCTGCGTTGTTTACTGCTGGGGGGGTGGACTAGGCTCAGATCAAAGTCCTGCTCCTAATGAGATCTTGTTAAAACGCTTTAGAGTTACCTTTTTACCTCCAAGCTCCGAGGCTGATTTCTCATGAAGCATTACACTACATATGTATTTTCATCCAAACTGTTAAACCAAAAGAAAACAAAACAGAAACAGGCCTCCCTGAGAACCTTGCTTAACTGGAAGAGAACTGTTTCTTTTTAAAGTCAATCAAGAAAGTAAATTTCTCACTTATTTGCATATAGCCACTGAACACAAAAGCCGCTTTGCTTTTTTTTTTTTTTTTTTTTTTTTCTTTTTTTCCTGTAGGCAAGCAATCTCCAGCCTGTGACAGAGGGCAGCACACAAAGCCAGATCCCTTTGTGGCCTTAAAATAGGTGGGGGAGGGAAAACAGCCCACAAAGGGCGGGGTGTTCTCTGCAGCCACATGGTGACTGGAATGTTGCAACCCAGCCTCTGGATTTTCCCAGCAGTCCCAAGTTTAATTAAATTAGTTTTGCCCCTTTGACTTTCTTCAGCCACCTTTGGAAGAGATGGTCCCCATTGTCCTGGAGAATACTCCGCTCTGACTCTCAGCACAGGCAGCACCCTGTCCTGTAGGAGCCTGGCAACCTGCAGTCGCTGCTCATGCTGTGTGGGTCTAGAGACTGGAAAGCATAAGACATAAGCTTTCTGACACCTGTTCGGCTTTACACAGTAGGCTGCCTCTGACTGGGTTGGGTCAGGTCATTTAAGCTAGCTTTGAAGAACAGAAGAGCGCCTCCTCTGTCCTCATTTGAATTTCTTCTTTGTGCAGTCTGGGATTTTGTGTCTGGCCGTTAGGAAAGAGATACTCTAATGCTCACAGCAGCAGCTGTGTCAAAGTTAGTTAGACTTTGGACAAACAAACAAGGAAGGTTCCAGTGGAGTGAGTTGGAACTGCAGAATTAATACAAAATAGCAATATATTCATAGAGGGGAAAGCCATCCCTTCCTGGTACCTCTCAAAAGAACTTAAGCTGAACTCTAAAGTGAATTACTCTCTCACCTCCGAGTTCTTCAAGTGGCTCAAAGGGTGGCCACTGCCTGTCATTTTTAGAAATGCACTACACATTTTTAGACACCTTAATGTTTTAAATAATGTGACTTTTTCAGCTAGGATGGGGAAATGCCTTCCATTGCCAGGCTTTGTTACCACGCTTCAGCACCCACAGGCCAGTTCAAAGCTGCTGTCCTGCCTGAGACCTTTTTAGGCCATCTTCACCGTTGACGCTTTCCTTCCGGGTTCCTACAACATTCTTCTCCTCCTTGCTCAGCACACCCACTCTCTCCATCTCCAAAGCAGCCAGTGAGGCAGGGACTGCAGCATGAGTGCCCAGGGCCCACAACACACACCCTAACTACAATAACCTCTGGGTCACAAGAACTGACTCCTAAAGGTCAGTTGTCTTTGTACTTTTTCTTTGAGACATGTTCTCAGTCAGCTGCACCATGGAGAACTAATATGGAAATACCAATGTGCTCAGACATAGAGTTAAACCAGTTCATTGCACAAATCGCATTCACTCTAAAGCTCAGGTGGGACTCAAAATTACAGTCTTCTAGCTTTATCCTTCTACCAGATCTGACTAAAACAATTTTTGAAAGCTTTTTTCTCTCTCTCTTTCTCTGACTGTAACTACTACAGTTTTGACTTAAGGAATGCACGCTGTGTTTTTTTTTTTTTTGCCAGAAATGCAAAATTATGTCAAAACGAAATTAAAAGTCAGAGAAGCTTTAGTGTGCTTGTGTTTGCCTAGTAAGTGATTTTCATGTTGTCTGTGAAATGGCTGTATGATGAAAATTGTTCCTTAAAAGTAGCAGTTGTCATCTTTAACTTTGTAGTCAAGCTAGTTTATAATTATGGACCTTGTATGAATCCCCAACATTTGGAATTCATAAAGGTGTCAAAAAAAAGAAAGAAAGAAAGAAAGAAAAATAGTCCTAAATAACCAGAAAGTTCTGTGATTCGATTGATTGACTGGTGATTTGAACTTACTTAACTCAGGCCAGGGCCCTTGGATTATGTCCCGCTGTCATGTTTGCAGGTGGAACTGTGTAGAAAGGTAACATGATCCAACATGGCATTTATGACATTCTTGGTGTAGCAGGAAGTGAACTTACACCAGGCTTGGGGATAAGTGTAAGCAAGCTCAAAGGTCAACGGCTTATCCAGACTCGTAACTGGAGATAGAATGACAGTCACGTGCTTTGCCGTGGCTTTCTGTGCATCATTAAATTCGCCCTCTTCCTTCCCTTCCCGGCTCACCTCCCATTCACCTGTTGGACTAATCTTGAGTTTGGATCTTTTCCCCAGAAAGCAGCTTCATTTCCATTGGCTACTGCCACTCTGCCTTTGGCCAAAGCGATAGCACGGCCACAATGCCTCTGGTTAATATGTATTCATTTCTTCCTGAACTCCAGCTGCTACCTGGGTTTACTCATCCCACGGATATAGGTTGTCACCCTTTTCACCTTATGATTGAAGAATCAGAATCTCCCACTCCTGAGACTTGGGCTTCTCCCCCTTTAGTGGTGAGAATGGGTTTGAACTCAAGGTTACCTGGCCCCACATACTCCCCAGTTTATCTAGGGTCTTTCTGACTCTACCACTTGCATCCTAAGTTCTTGGCTTTCCCAGGAACCCAGGTCCCCTGCATAGGAGCATTCGTATTTTCTAGTACAAGTGAATGTATTACTAGCCTGTCTTTTATGTATGTGTTTGCATTTCTTTACAAGAAGGGAGTGCGTGATGGGGGCAGGGAGTCGGTGAGTGGGGGTGTTGCATTATAACTCAGAATGGATTTACTGCAAAGGGTACAGTTAATCCTTCATAGACCACAGGGATTTTTGTCTGATACCTCTGTCTTTTTTGTTTCTTAGGTTCTCCTTACTATGACAACGTCCGTCCCCTCTCTTACCCAGATTCTGATGCTGTGCTCATTTGCTTTGACATCAGTAGGCCAGAGACTCTGGACAGTGTCTTAAAAAAGGTGAGTGCTGAGGGATGAGAACGCCACCTTGCAGCACTTTTGATTCTAGAGCTAGGTGGCTGGCTAGGGGGCCACAAGGATTCTCACCTGTTGCCTTATGTCTTCTAATGACAACACTGGAAAGGGTATTTCCATACCAAAGCAGGGCTTTCGTACGTGGATGCCATGAGTTTGGGGGAATTTATCTGCTTGAAACTTTATTTCATAAAGCTCTGAACAAAATACTTTTCATCAGTTTCCATGTTTGTCTTTTTTTTGGGGGGGTGGGGGGTGGAATGGTGTGAAAATGTAAGAAATAGCTCCAGTAGGTCCTACCTGAGCCTTCATTCATTTTTGCTAGACAGACTGCTCCATATGTGTTTACTGGTGATCTCAACTGAGATACTGAGCTTAGGAGAATAAGAGCTACTTTGACAAAGAAGTTGTGTTTCAGTTATTTATAGACGTAAGTGAAATCAGTACAAGAGGAATATGTGGACTAAAGCTTGTTCCTACCCGCGCAGCAATGCGAATTATGATCAGGTGGACCAAATACTAAGAGAGCATCAGTTACGCTGAACGTGAACATTGTCACACAGCCCCAGTTTCTGGAAGCAAAGCTGGTTCAGATCCTGTAAGTGGAGATAGGATTAGAAGAAGCTGTGGACAGAAGTACCCAGGACTAGGAGGAATGGTATCTGTTGCAGATGGGTCTTGAGGCCTAAGAAGGCCACTGCATGTGTATGTAGGGGGGGATGCTTGGCCTTCAGCAACAGAGAACTTAGCCCCCAGGGAAGCTACAGGAACTTGCTATAGATGAATTCCAGGGAATTCAGTGGGGACATGGACTCTGCCTGGCCTGCAGCCACCTAGATTTTTTCCATAGTAGTTCTAGAGGGTCCAGTAGAGGGGGAAACACATTGACCACTCACCCTTGAGGGGACGTGGTGGGGTTTGAGAATGAGACTCTAGCTGCAGTATCCCCCCCTTTTTTTTTTCTGTGCGGTGCAGATGTGGCAAGAACACAGAAAGCCACTCAGTGGCTGTCTCTGTTGCCCAGTCAGAGTGAGGGCAGATGGAAGAGAAAGGGAGAGGAACTTGTCTAGATGTACAGGCTTGTTTCATTCGGGTTGTGTTCTTTTGGCTTATACTTTCCGTGGTGTTTGTTTGCATTTTAAGTGTTTGTATTAACTTTTTGTGTGGTACTTAATTGGGTAAGTCATTATAAACTTAGGGTTTGAGGTACAGCCCTCCTTCAGTTTTTATTAAACGTTGCAAGCAGTTTGGTGAAATTGTACTCTTGGTAGATCAAAGGTTCCTTCTTCGTTCTTAACTGCTTTCCGTTCTGAGTAATATGAAACAAAGGGCTGACTTTTGTCAGATTCTGTCAGGAATACACCTTTCCTGTCTTCAACACTGTAAACAAGTACAAAGGGAAGCCAACAACATCACACAGCTGAGAACAACATAACAACATGGCTGCCTATGTCTGCAGATAAAAGGAACACTTACTTCCTGGTGTCTGTGCTTGATGTAGTATAAGCTTATACATAATTTACCACAGAAAGCTTTTTTCCTTCTGCTTCCCTTTTGTCTCCTAATACCAAACAAATAGTGACATTAGACCTGTAGATATTAAGGAGTGTGCTTCAGATGTTTGTGTCAGGGTTAAGGCTCATGATAACTTTATCTGGGTTTTGTCTTAAATGAGTCCTGAAGCCCGTTAATATCAGAGTTTAGAGTGACTTAAGGTAGAAAAAGATTTCTTATTCTGCTTTTCAGTTCTTTAGGGGAAGGTGACAGATGCCCCCTAGATAACTGTGGGAGAGAAGAAGGAAAGAAAACCTCAACAGACAGACCAGGCCCTCTGTGTGTCACTGCCCTCTGTGTGCTGGAGCACTTTGTGCTAGACGCCACTGCTCAGCTGCACCTTGAGACCTGGAGGTCTCCTCGGGTGCTCTCCTAAATCATCTTTTCACAATGTCCCTCTTCCCCACTATTACACTGACACAACTTTATTGCTCCTTCTGCTCTGTGAACTCCTGAAAGACGTAGCGACATCATTATTACAGTACTCCACAGAGCACGAAAGATATCAGTGCATGCACGTGGAAGAGTCTCAGCCCCTCTAGGCCTTCATATCTCAGAGCGAGATCTTCTCGGGGTACTTCTCTCATGTCCTGATGATGAGCTCAAGTGAGAAGAAGCAAGACCACAAAAAGCCTTTTCCTGCCTTTAATGGAAACAGCTGAGTTACTGGAGGGATGTAGCCCACAGAGTGCCTGGTCTGTCCACTGAAGTTTTTTCTGTCCTTCTTCTTTCCCACAGTCATTTAGGGGCATCTATCACCTTCCCCTACAGAACTGAAAAGCAAGGAATTCTCGAAATTCTCCTAATTCTGGTTAGGACAGGAAATGGTTAGTTAAATAAACTATACAGCAGTGCTCAGCAGTTAAAAATTAACTCAAAGTCCTGTGTGCTGCAAAACCAGATGCTGTCTTCAGAGCTGAAGAAGTAGTTGGTTCTCTGCTGAAGCAATGGTCTGTGTCCATTCAGCCACTTGAGCAGAAGATCCTTGAAGAAGGACATTCTGCTTCACTAATCATAGGCCACATGCTTACACAGAGCTTCCAGCACACAGAAGCATGGCCAAGTCTTTCATGATAGAGTCTGTGAGCATATATTTTTGCTGGTACGAGCTGTTTCTTATGCTCAGCCTTCTTTCCACTTACCACATGTTAGGCTGAGTAATAAGAAACTCAGCATATCCGAGGATGCAGTCATCCATTTGGATATGTGATTACTAAGGTGCTTTTGTCTTCCAAATACCTCCACAATTAAGACATTGCTGAAGCTACCGTCTGTTGATGCCCCAATAAGTTCACTGTGGGAGGAACCAATGAGTCACACCGAATATAAAAATGTCCTTGGCCACTCTCTAAAGTTTGGTACCTACTTAGTAATTAAACGCCAGCATGCTTCTTCGCTTGAAGTTGCCATGTCAGTGTCTGCGAGTGAAGAAATTGTTTTCATTGTATACATTGTCAGCACTTTGTTAATTTTCCTTCCCCCCCCCCCCCAACAGTGGAAAGGTGAGATCCAGGAATTTTGTCCCAATACCAAGATGCTGTTGGTTGGCTGCAAGTCTGATCTCCGGACAGATGTCAGCACATTAGTGGAGCTCTCAAACCATAGGCAGACTCCGGTGTCATATGATCAGGGGGCAAACATGGCCAAGCAGATCGGAGCAGCCACTTACATCGAATGCTCAGCTTTACAGTCAGAAAACAGCGTCAGAGACATTTTTCACGTCGCCAGAGTTTTGAAGTGTGTTTTGAAGTGTTTTGAAGAGTTTTGAAGTGTGACTTGAAACAAATATGCCAAAAACAAAAGGGAGCTACAAACGGGCTAGCGCTAGAGGAAAGGAGAAATGCCAGTCCTTCCGAGAAGAAAATCCAGCCTCTGCACGGTGCTTGCGTATTTCCGGTTTCGGTTTTTGTGTTTTCGTTTCGTGGATCTCTGCTTTGATTTAGTTTCTCGGTGTTTTAATCTTTCTTTCAAAAAAAGTATCTATTAGTGTACCGTCCTCGTGGGGAACTCGCACTGTGACCTTAGCGTTTAGGTTTCTAGAGGATGGGATCTCATTTCCTCCTAGCCCATCATTAAAATGGAAATTGTATCGGGACCCGTGGGATCCGAGAGGAAAAACTTCATGAGGCTTTGAAATCTTGACTTCCTGAAGGTCGCTGCTGAGCGAGGTGGTTTGAAAGCAAGGCTTCGGCGGCCTTACAAGATGCGTAGACCAGCACTACAAAGATTGCGTAGATCAAATAGGAAAGAGTGTTGCTTTTTATTCTGTCTGATGGTTTTGTTCATTCCCCGTGATTGTCATTAACAAGTGGTAAATTGCTCAATGTAATATTTTGTGCGCTGTTTAGAAGAGAGTGTGTGGCTTTGTTTTCCTTTTTGCCATCGTTGATAAAAAAAAAAAAAACGAGAAGTCAAATAAAAGGTGTCTTGGTTTGATGTGGTAGAGTGATCTCAGAGAGGAAGCCGGTGATTACTGTTTCCACCAGGAGAGGCAATGAATGGAGGAGGAGGAGCAGAGAGCACAGTTTGTGAGGGAGGCTGTCTGGGAGAAAGTTCGATTTCAAACGCTCAGAGCGAAAGCACTGTTATCTGGGGACAGTGCCCCTGGACTGGCAGCAGACGGGGAGCTGTTGGTTGGCGCGTGCCACTACCTTCAAATGAATGTTGTCCTGACAAAACCCCCATTTGCCCACGCTTTAGAAAACCACAGATAGAAAAAAAAAAAAAAAAAAGTCTGTAATGTCTGCCCTGATATGAGCCTAGGGCATTTCTCAAGTAACTGCGAAACCTCACTTAATCAAACGCAGCTAGGGCCAGGTTCAAAACTTGATGGTTGTAATAATCAGCATTTAAAATAGTTTACAGGTTTCTCCTTTTGAGCAGTTCCTTTCAGAGAGGAAATCAGATATGACCTTTTTATAGTTGGTGCTTGTTGAAAACAAGCTTTTTTTCCCCCCAAGATGACGCTTCATTTTTGAAGTGTTGAAGCTCTGTTTCCATTAAAATGTGGCAGAAGAGGAGATTAAGGAAATTATAATAACACCCAGTTCTGTGTCTTACAAGCACTTTGTTTTGTCTCTGCAAGAAGATGCCATTTCAGTCATTTCCCATGAAACTCAGACATTTTACCAACATAATATGCTCTGACTGGTGCAGCGTTATGCTTTGGGCAGTATTACAAAATAGCTGGCGAGTGCTTTCTGTATTTAAATATTGTAAAAAGAAAATAAGTTATAACTGTTATAAAGCAGAATTTTTGTTGCTTTTTTTTTTTAAATGTTGAAGTCACTTTGTATGTTTGTTTGGTCAGTGTTTCCACAGTATTTATTAAAACTTATGTTTTTCTTCAAATAAAAAGTAACCATGTCTGTCTTCCTGTGATGCTTTCTGCTTCTTGACTTGGTTTTTCAGCTATGTTCTTTCGTACAGATGATTACAGAATAGAAAATAAGATATTTACTGAATAATATTAATTTGTAGAAAGTAACAGAATTCCTTAGATGTCTTACATAGTGAAAATGAATGATATAAACCCAGTTTGTACATGGAAATTAAATGTTGATCTTAGTTTCTACTGTGTCTCCTGGAGACCCAGACATGCCCTTGTAAAGTGTGCTCTTGTTCACAGCAGCATGGAAAGCTCAGGATCCAACTACTGCAACTTGATGGAGGCAAAACAAAAGTAGTCCCATTTATGGTAGATGCATTGTTCAACACAGACAATTCTCAAGTACACATGGAATAGCCTAGGGGAGAGGGGGTCATAGGTCCCAATCAGCCTAGTTGACTCTGTCTTTAGCTAAAAATGTCTACACATTTTAAATAAAGGTCTCAAAATATTCAGTGAGACTTCAACACAATGATTTGGCACAGCCAATGTATTCTCTATAAAAATTGCGACCTGTGACTTTTTTAAAAATGGCCTTAGAAATCTTTGTGGTATAGTTACTTGCTTAGAAAGAATTCTCAGAAGGACAAAGCACAGAGAAAACGAGAGATTCCTACATGAGTGAATAATCTTAAAAGCATAGATATTATAGGATATCCAGATAAAAGATTTTGGAGCTCAGATGTTTACAGAATATGTTTGTAATTCATTCCTGGCATCTAGTACTAAAGGAAATAAAAGTACTTTCCCAACCCTAGTACAGGGTAGCTTCTACTCTTAATGTCTGGGTCAGGCTTATAAGAAACTTGTTTCTCAACACTCTCTGCTACAAAAAAAAAAAAAAAGGGGGCGGGGGAGGGAAGGAAGGAGAGTTGAGGTTCTGCTGACCTTGGCTGCTTCTCTGGCTTGGCACTAATATTCTCTCTGGTCAGTTCTCAGCTGCTTTAATTTTTAAGAGGAAAAAGTCTGTCTTCTGCATTGGCTGCAAAGGTCTACCTTTGCTCTGACTCTTTGCCCTGTCTACATAACCTGACTACTGTGTAAACAGTCCTTTCAGTTTATCAGTGATCACAGTTGAGAACTTTTGAAATGCTAAAGACTGTCTTAAATCTCTGAGTAGACTTTGTGTCTCTCTTATATTAATCTTTTTCAGAAATAGTTACTTAGAAGATTCTAATCTTTTTCCTTTCCTTTTTCCTTTTTCTT